TTCCAGCACCGGCCACAGTCACTCTCAGACCCGTGGCAGAGTTGTCTACGTTCACATTTGCTTGCAAGTTTACAATCCTCCTTCCTTGAGCATTCTTGCGGAGGTACCTTCGATACGGCGTCCTTGTCATCGCGTCAACTGCGATGGGCTGCTGACGACGGACGTCGTAGGTGTGCCAACCACCCCGTGGCACATTTGGCATCCTGAAGGTTCTCCTAACAGGTGGGGGAGCTCTCACTGGTTGGGCAAGTCCAAAAGGTAGACTTTTGAAAGGCGGGGCACTTTGAGCAACCCACTGCCTACGCTGCCCTCTTCCCCATGCAGGTGCACGTACTCCTTCGACGTTGCGTTCAAATGAGGGATACCTCGGTTTGAACTGTCGTGGTCCCAATCTCTGGTGGACCGACTGGCTCGGTCCCGCTCCCCCAATATTTAGCTTCCCGCGACACTGGGCACACAACTTCTCTTCCTCAGTTGGGTCCAAGCGTGGCCCCTCCTGCACTTGTGAGGATGAAGCGCCCTGGGCCACATCAGAACTACCACTCGGCGGCGGCGATGTATCCACCACCAACTTGAAGCGTGGCAGGTTGATCTTAGAGAAATCGGGATTGACCATGTTGACGCCGACAACGTTTGGGAATGGGTCTGTGTCAACGATCATGGCCTCCTTCCTCGGCTCTGGGAACTTGAACCGACCTTTCTCAATTGCATCCTGCACAACGTTGCGAAACACAACACACATGTTAGTTGAATGAGATGCACTGTTGTGCCATTTACAGTATTGTTTTCCCTTTAATTTTTCAGCTGGCGGGATAGTATGCCCCCCAGTCAACTTAATTTGACCATCTTTGTAAAGCTGGTCGAAAATCAGTTCTGATTTTGAGACATCAAAGGAATATTTTCTAGTTTGAATCGGAGCACGATTGGGCTTTCCACCTTGTGGTTCCCCATCGGCCTTGGCTAGAGAAGCACACACATATGGCTTCCCCTGCACAATCTCGGCCAAATCAACTTCAACTCCGTCAACATCGTTGCCGACGTTATTCACACCATAGTTTCCAAAATTAGGGAAATATTGTCCGCGAGAACCACTTCTCTTATGTTCTTCTTCACGGAGAAGAGATTCATATCTAACAGCGTAGGACATCAATTGAAACAAATCAGAAAACTCCCTATCTTGAAACTTTTTACGAAGTTCAAAATTCAATCCACCCTGGGCCAGTTTAACAAACTCGCGTTCTGTCAAGTTCACAAAACAGCGATTTCTTGCATTTTTAAAGTTTGTTAAAAAGTGTTCCACTGTTTCTCCTGGCTGTTGGCGCATTCGTGCCAAGTCTGCCATTGTTACTTCTGGCTCCGAACGGTAGAACTGGGCATGGAACATTTGTTCCATTTGCTGCCAAGTTTGAACCGAGTTCGATGGCAAGTTAACGTACCACGCGAATGCAGGGCCGGTCAACGAGTTGCCAAACAAACGCAACTTCAAGAAATCACTCACATCACCACACTGAACCGTGAATCGTCCAACATGCTCGACGGTGGACTGATCCCCAGTCCCGCTGAAGGTGATGAAATCAGGCACGCGAAAACCATGTGGAAAGGGGTAGTATCTATCAACCTAATCCGGATATGGTTTTCGATAAACCGGCGGCATCGCTGGTCTAATCCCAAAACCAAACTGATCCGCCAGCATCTGTGCTACCTGATCTCGAATCACATTAACGTCTTGCCCCCCGAGTTGCCCCCCTTGTGGTACGAATCCACCAGGATCCATGCCAAGCCCGTTTGGAGGAGGAGGAGGCACGTTTTGTGGGTAGGCGCGTGGCGGAACATGATCATTGTTGATCGTTCCTCCACCACTAGCACCGCTCATCGGAGCCACGTAAGGTCTGGCCTCCGGAATATTTTGTGGACCCACACCGTGAAACGGCGGTGGTTCAACCCGAGTGTTAGCGGCAGTGCCAGTCTCGCCAAGATTAACTCGCGGAGTTGGTGGGTTCATCACCAGTGTCGGCGAAGCTCCTTGTCTTGGCGGACTAATTCGAGCACTGTTGTTTGGAAAACCAGTTTCGCTGTTTAAATTGTTTTCACCGTTTAGCGGCAAATCCCTAGGTTGCGTTACTGGTCTACCCAAGAGCTCCCTGATTTTATTCATATCACGTAGATTTTTATCCCCGAAAACATCAAAGTCATGTCTGTTTTTAGTCACAACTTCAAAGAGTTGGCCTAATCGCCTATCAACACGAGACTCGAGAGAATCATGTCGTGCAGTTAAAGCGTCAAAACGTTGATTTACCTCGCCTTTGAAGCCTGCGAGCTCATTGTTGAGGCTTGCAAACATGCGACGGTTCTCCTCCATGAAATGGCGGATTGACAAATCCCCAGTCGGCCCAGCTGTGGACGGCGGATTCTCGGACCCGCCGATGTCTTCAGCACCGATTCCTTGGCCTCCTTCAATGTTGGCCACATGTTCCTCGACGAATCCGGGCGGGACATCCCCTTCCTAATTCCTTCGTCGCGGAGCCATTCGAACACACGGGTCCCACTAGGTGTGCCAATTTGTTTCGTTGGCGAAACTCGTGTGTTTACTGCGCACGGTTTTCAAGAAAAACACAAAACACACGTCAATCACAACCGTCAAATATCCGCCGCCGAATGTCGGCGCCGTTGATTTGATCGATTAGAGAAGAAATCAAGACGATCGTCAAATGGCTGCCACCGGTGTCGGCGTCGTTGATTTGATCGATGCACCTTTGACCTCTAATCAAACAACCGTACTCGGTTCACCACCTCTCCAAACTACGTTCGAACGAGGGTGTTCAACGAGAAACGAGAAACCAAACCAAGAGTGTTCTAAGTTAAGTTACCTCTACTCCTATGGAGGTTCCTCTGGAGAGCTCCGCGACTACGACTACGATCTACAACTACTACGACTCTGCTAAGGAGGTCTTTGACAGAGCGGTTCTACGAAAACTAGAGAGAAGATAATCTGCGACGGTGCAGTTTGTGATTTGATTTTGCCGTCTTGAACTTCTCTCTCTTCCCAATCTTTATACTTCGCGCTTCTCCTCGTCGTAGTAACTGCCTTCGCGCCTTTGTCTCCCACGTCTTCACATCTGTCAACCGTGCAGGTAACTTCCTCCTTGTTGCGTAACTCCCACGAGTGCGAAACCGCTTGAGCACGTGGCAACTTGGTCAAAAACGACACTGAGCCGAAATCCACCATTGCTGAACTCTCGTCACTGCAACGTTGTTTTTAATTAAACACCATCGTTTCAGTACCGTGACGGTGTCGACTTCTCCCACGATGTCGTTTTCGGCTAAAGCGACACCGTCTTAACTGCTCCTTAAAATATTAATTAATTAAACCGGCCATCATTGTTGACACGCTGTCAAACTCTCACTTCGCGGCACCGTTCTTACTTAAACAGCATCGTTTTCTATTTCTGCGATGCTTGAACTTTGCGATGCCGCTTTAACTTTAACGCTGTCGTTTTAACAACTGCGGCATCGTTTGGCCTCTTCGCGGCATCGTCTTTAAATCCGCGGTGTCGTTCCTTCCCCTTGCGGCATCGTTTTCAACTAACCACACCGTGCTAAGAAGTCATTAAAATATTAATTAACTAATCTGACCATCACTAGTCCACGACCAACAACATCGTTAGCGCCAAAACGGCTCCGTTTGTTTTTCCTTTTGCGACATTGTTTTTTATTAAACACTGTCGTTTGCTTGTATAGCGGTACCGTTGGGCTTCCTCGCGGTACTGTTTTTAATTCCGCGGCCCCGTTTTAACTCCCCTCAGTGCCGCTTCTTCCCATCCAACAAGGAATAAAAATAAAAATTAATTAGAGAAAACGCATTCTCCAATAACCGCGCGCGGCCCTCTTATTTTTCGGTAAACGGTGTCGTTTGCATACCGCGGCACCGCTGAGCTTCCTTGCGGTACAGTTTTAGTTCTCCGCGACGCCGCTCGACTCCCAACGATACCGTTTTTTACGAGCGGTATCGACTTAAATGCCGAGACTAATTAATGCGGCATTTAATTCCGGCCAAATTAATTTTAGGTGTCAACACAATCCCTTTATTTTGAAACCGAGTATTAATTCCGGCCAAATTAATTTTTGGTATTATCGATTACCATACCCATACCCTACCCTTTATTTTGAAACCGAGTATTACCCGTACCCGCCCCTTAACCCGTCAAAGCGGGTAATTATCCTCGTTGACCGGTTACGATCGGGTAGGGTACCCATAATTACGGGTTGGATTGACATCCCTAATCAGTGCCATCCTCTTCATCAACATCACTAAACTGAACACGTCGCTCATTGCGAAAGGAAAATAAGTCCAGAAACCATTAGGGCCGCCAATGATTTGCCGGTCTAGTTGGATTATTATGTGAGCCAGCCAACAACCGGAAAATGAAGAACAACCTCACATGCATCTGCCCCAAGTATCCAACAATACAGCCATATTGCAGTGACCTGTTACCCAATAATGTCCTCCACAGCTTACAGCGAACTTTCATTCCCTCCGCTTTTCGTGACAAACAAATAGAGCTAAAGCTCCGTCCACTTCAAAAGGGCCCGCCACCCACCATAGGCTCGGTGTAGAGACTATACACACAGGCCCATTCGTTCCGGCCCCTTATGTTGTCCAGCCCAGGACATTGGGCCTTGTTTTGAGGCCCATTAAGGTTTCGGCGCCAGAGATTCCAGTAGGTAGGTAGTTAGTTCCTCTTGCGTCTGGACCAATGGACCGTGTCTTCCGTGTTCAGTTACGCCGTAAATGGGAAAGTGCCACGTGGACCCCGTGAGCCAGCCAGCACCCGCCATTTTTCTGGATTGGTCAAAAAAAAAAACAAAATAGAAAACCCCCGAGAACGATAATCCTCCAGTCATTTCTATTCCATCCTCATCCTCCACAAAATTAAAGTTCAACGCCCTTTTTGTTGTGCACTAATCCGGTTTTTTCCCCACTGATAATTCCAAAAAATTCCCCAATTTCCCTCCGAAAAAAAGGAAAAACTTTTAATCTTTTTTTTAGGATCTGGACACTGAACTAACGCTGAGCTGTCAAATTGCTTCGTCCAAGCAAACGCAACAACAAGAGCAACAACAAACAAAGTCCCGCGTCTTCCTCTCCTCTTCTTCTTCTGCATCGTGGTTGCGCTTCTCTGTCTGTACGGATTCCGACTGATACCAGAAACCGAACATGGCGAATTTCGACAACACACCGCCGGAGAATCATCACAAGGACGGGGAATCGTTGCCTCCTCCGCCCGTCGTCCTACCTCCACCGCCGGGCGCAGGCCTTGGAGTTCCGCCGCCGATGGGCCCGGCGGCCGGGGACATGGAGTCCGGGTTCGGGGTTCGGGGAATCTTGAGGCGCTGGAGAAGAGAGGATCGGCTGAACAAAGCGTCGGTAATATGTAGAGGGTTGGGTTTCGTTTTCTCCCTCCTTGCTTTCATAATCATGGCCAGCAACAACCACGGCGACTGGATGAGCTTCGACAAATACGAAGAGTACAGGTGGAAAATTATGGAGCTCTCTGTTTTCATTTTCCTTTTCTCTTATGATAAAAAAGAATCTGAATTGGGAATTTGGGGTGGGGCCTCAGGTATTTGGTGGGGATAACCGTTCTATCGACTCTATACGCCGGAGCTCAGGCGTTCCGGCAGGTTCACGAGCTTCACTCCGGCAAATACACGATTCCGCTCCAGCGGCGAACTTCCGCCATCGTCGACTTCTGCAGCGATCAGGTACCGTCCTTGATGTAAAAGTTTCTGATCCTAGTTTTCAATTAAACAACCGATTGAATTTCGCTTTCGGATGGCCTAACTGGTCGGCCACTGGCATTTTCTTATTATCCACTATTAATAGGGAGGTTAATTGCATAGTAATTCAACCCTTAAAATAATTACAGAGTCTAGTTAGCTGGGTTAATTGCGTGTTTATCATCGGAATTGTATTTGTATGTATGTCGTCATCAATGGCGAGTATAAAATATGAAACAAAAGCAGAGGAAGCTTCTGTGATCCCCAAATGGACCCTCAAAATGGTTCAGTTTACACATCTGGATTCATGAATTTGGAAGCACATGGAAAATACAATAATAATATTTGAAGGGTCGGTCTTTCGATTACATGATGGTTTTTCCCTTTGGAATTTTTCCAGGTAGCTTCCTACCTACTTATGTCAGCAGCCTCTTCGGCAGTGCCTCTGACCAACAGAATGCGGGAAGGTGCAGACAACATATTCACAGACACATCGGCAGCAGCTATCAGCATGGCACTCCTCGCATTCATCGCCCTTGCTCTCTCTTCTGTCGTTTCTGCACACAAGCTCTTCACTCAATCTTACATTTAGAAGACCTCTTCTTCCCCCCCACATTCATTCTCCTTCCTTCTCTTTTATGGGTTTTCATTCTTTTAGGGTTGACTTCATTATACATATATTCTTCTGTGTCTGTGTGTCTCTGTACTATTCGCGTACTAAGCTGTAGAGCTTCTCGTTTTCTTCTTTGATCTTCACCATTTGTACACAAAACACAGCAAAGGAAATGGGTTCCTGCAAATATATCATCTTTGTATTGTCACCAGCAACATGGGCAGGACAGAAAGATTAAAACTTTGTTGATACCTACTAACTGGGTAATTGAAATTTCTGTGCTACAACTAAAACAAAGGCCATTTCTGCATTGTTCATGAGTAAGAGGCCTCTGTAAAAAAAAAACAAATGAACCAATGAAATCCCATTTTGTATCTGTATACAATATATCCTCCTCTCCTTCTATAACTTATGAAGTATGACTGTTTTCTTTTTTCCTAAATTCTAATTGCTGCTGCAACCAAAACTGTAGTCCTTTTGGCTTGGTGGTATTCAGCTTAGCAGTGAATCAAGGAAGGATTCCTCCTTAGGTTCTTCCTTGGCTCCAGCAATCGCACCGTACTGCGACTGATGATTCATGTAAGAGCCCCCCGCTGCTGTAGCTGTCGGCTTTCCAAAACCCGAGAACCCATAACTCCCTGAACCCTGCTGCAACATCTCCAGGGTGAATGGAGATTGATTCGAGTAGGCTCCGCTGCTGTTGGAATGATGACTGTTCATGACAGAGGGCCTAATGGGAATGGCTGCTGGAGTAGGGTTCGTTGCAGCTGTTGTTGGTCTGGTGGCGACATAGCCGCTGCCTCTTGCAGCAGGAACATCATGGTTGTGTTTCCCTTCGTAGGTTGTGATCACAGCTCGCAGGTCTTGGGATGCTCTCTCCACATGCTTCCTCACTGGACACCCCACGAATGTGCACTTGTAGTAGCTCCTGTGAAGAATCAAGAGACAAGAGGGTCGGCCATTTGAGAATTCATCCAATGGATAATGTGTAAAAGAAATTGACTATAATCCAAGTATGAAAAGTGAAAACCAACCTTGGATTAGGGTTTCCTTTGACCACTTTCTGCCCATATTTCCTCCATCGATATCCATCATCAAGTATATCTATATCGCTGGTTGTTTGAACCACAACCCTTGGTTCCCTAACGGTTCTACTCCCACCGCCACCAACCAAACTGTCGTTCTCGCTCTGCCCTTTCCTGCAAGAAAGAGGGGGGGAATATCAGAAATGGTACTTAAAAGTTAGAAAGCAATTCAAAAACTCTACTCCCAGTTTTCAAAGCTTGAAGGGGAAGGGGGAAAAAACTCACCATCGTTTGGCGTCAGGTTCATTGTTGTCATCTTCATCGCCGGCAGAATTACTGAGCGGTGAGTTCTGTTCGAACTCGTCTTCGCCAACGGATAGCGAAGAGTCGTCGTGGTGGGTTCCGGAACCCATTTGGCTGACCGATTGATCACCAATTTCAGGACTGCCGGCGGGTTGAACGGAATGATGAGAGGACTGCCTTGTGGACTGGGGTTTGGGATGGTTATGGCTGCCTTTGTAAACGATTTCAGTGATCTGTCCGTCTAAAGACCTTTCGACTTTCTTTTTGGTGGGACAATTTGGAAAAGTGCATTTGTAATAGCTTCTGGGGTTCTCGCTTCCTTTGACTTGCTTCTGGCCGTACTTCCTCCAGTTGTAACCGTCGTCCGATCTCCTGCTCTCCCTCATGTAATGAGCCGTCGGGTTGTGGTTGTTGTTGTAGCTGGGTTGCTGCTGTGGAGCGGCGATGCTGTTGGTCTGAAACGGTATCGTTTCGGAGGAGAAGCTCTGGATTGCAGGGAATTCGGATTTGATTTTGTCTGCTGAAGAGAGATCGGAAGGTTGGTGAGCGGCCCATTTGGCCCCTTCTTTTCTTTTTTGCTTGTAACGTCAATTGCGACCTAAAATAACATGATATAACAAAATAAAGCGATCTAGGCTACAAATGAAGTTTTATATATCGAATCATGCTCAAATGACTTAAAAACATCTAATAAATGGAGGCTAAATACACTTTTTGGATGTTATCAGGATTCCACCACTCGTAATTGTTGATATCCCGACCTCAACATCAATTTTGGTGAACATGGATGCACCTTGTAGTTGATTATATAGGCCATATAATTTGGGTAATGGATGCCTTATTTAGCTTTTATAATCTATACACATCTGCATACTACTATCCTTCTTCTCACAAACAGTATCGGTGAACCTCATGGAGAGATGTTGGGATGAACGAATCCTTGTCCAACAATTCCTGCAATTGCTCCTTTAGCTCCTTGATTTCAACTAGCGCCATTAGATATGGTGGTATATAAATTGGAGTAGTGTCTAACATGACTTCAATGTACAACTCGATCTCCCTTCTTGGAGGTAGGGCAGATAGATCTTCTGAAAACACGTCCGGGAACTTTCGCACAATGTCCATTTCTTCAAGTCTCACTTCTGGCGTTGTCATGAATGTGCCACATAAATATTTGAATAAGTTTCGATGAAGAAGCAAACAGGAAATTCAATCGTACGAATTTTCCTGTTTCCTTGAAGTCATGATGCCTTCATCGTACGAAATTCCATCACTAAGAGTTTATCACACTTCGATTGCACCGTTTTGTCAAGCTAACATATCCACGGGCAACAATTAGTGATGGCAATGGGGTGGGGTGGGTACCTCAATACCCATGCCCCATCCCACGCTACTATGGGTCGGGGCGGGTAATACCCGCACGGGTACGGGGGCGGGGCGGGTCGACCCACTCTTACAAGTTATTTGAAAAAAATACACGTAAATTTTTACTTATGATAAAACGAAGGAAAAAACACTTTATGAAAGAAAAATGGTGATAACATAGAATGGGTAATTGAGTCAAACTAATTAAAAGATCAAGTCTAACCAGTTGAAAAAGACCAAAATAGGAGAAATATAAATAGATACAATCGTGATAGAATGGGCCAAAGAAAAACGGGATGGGGTACCCGTTCCATGGGTTCAAATAACCATCAATCCACCATCTATAATATTGCAGATCAATCAAACTAGATGGGAAACACATCAAATTGAATTCGCACCTTGTATTAGATAAGCTTCAAGCAAGGTAATTAATCTTCATCTCTCTTCCTGTTGTGCATTATCATATTTTACTACCATGCAGTTGACTTTGCCCCTTCAAAACCTTGCCGGCAAGGCAGTTAAGGTTGCTGAAAATTACAGAAGCCTTGATAAATAAACTAATAAAATTATAACAGATGGGCTCAGTCAACTTCTTGTTGCAGTATGGAAGATTCCAATTGATCTTTTCTGGGTTCAGTTCTTCTATCTCTTAACGCATTTAATACTATCAAGCACCGTACTGCAAGAATGATTAGATAATGATTGGGTTCTCAGGTATTTTAATTATCTTCCAATAGTGAGACGCCAGGTCATACTCGCCCCAATAATTAAAGAGTGGCTTAAGTAGCTGTAAATTCTAACTAATTAGAGCTGTCAGAGTGGCCTGGATTGCTCGAGTCTCGACGATGCTTACAGGCTACAGCCAGCCAGCACATGTGCAGTGCAAGCAAAGACTTAAATAACTCATTCATTCATTCATTGTGGTGTGGGAAGTAGAGCTTAAATAAGTGAAGATTGGAAGTAGAAAGTTGTTTAAGATAACCATAATATCCGGTTTGCTATCCTTGGGGAGATGACGGATCAAATTCAACGCCTACAAATCAGTGATCTAGGAAAAGAAAGAAAGACATTAGCCTTTGTTACAGTATTCACGAGCGTAGTAAACACTTGATCAATTAAACTGACATTTTTTATAATATCGTGTGAAAATTATATCCAATTGATATCAGTATGGTGTTTAAGAGGTACAACTAGCATACACGAGACCAAATAATAACAAACTAAAATTCTATTCACTCTTCAAACAAAGCGGATTTTGATATCATAATCTATAGGGTATATTCGAATAACACATTGTAATTGTACTTACCTACACCGTCCTCATCTTCGTTAAGTTTTTGAATGAGTAAAATAAATACACTTTACTAAATCTATCAAAATATATAGGATGACAAAATTATCCACACTCGTGGATATTGTTCCAAATTTGGCCTAATCTGGTAGGATAAACACCCAACTGAAAGAATTTTTAGTGAGTATGGATAAGTGTTTTGTCTATGAATTGCTATTAGTTTTATTAACCTATGATATTCATTATACATATATAATTTTTTTATGAAATTGTATGATTTTTTTTCGTTGATTGTTGATCTCAAGTTTTAAACACAAAAGATAGTGGATTTTCTCATTCCCACATTCCATTAGGTCAAACCTTGGGGTTGATTTTAATAATTTTTCTTTGTTCTGGTGATTCATTCTTATACCTATTCATTTATGTATTGTAAGTGAAATATTATTTACTAGCACAAGGCTATTGGTATGGTTATATAACTTGTATGTGTTATTCACACTGAAGATGTATTTTTGTTTGGTATTTAGCCATGAGCTATCTAGGTAAATACTCAAAATACTTCACGTATGTGTAGAATTAGAACATATTAAAAACATGAGAAAGGCAAATATGACTAACAATAAAATGCAACTAATAGTGACATATATGTTTACAAACAAAGTGTTGAGTATATAAAATGTCTATAAATGACAACATGAGAGTTGCTTCCTATGATACATACATAATCAATCTTTACCATAAAAAAATGATATTCCTTTGATTGAGTTCAATTATACATGAATTTTTTCTTTATCTTCTATGTTGATCATGACACGAATTATATATCTTCTTTAGTCGAAAAAATGTGGACAAATCATTTTCAAGGAAGTGTTCTCTAACCTTTGCATTCATTGCTCTAAATCTAAGTTTAACGTGAATATTTGATGTAGTAGTGGACATATAACTAATTTTACTATGTTTAACTATATACACCCAGTGCAGTCAAAATCGCGCTTTAAAGCGTAAAATCGTACGATTTTACGTTTCTAGGGTAGGAAAACATTTCAAATCATTAATAAAATCGCTTTCACTCAAAATCGGTCAAAAGCGTTAGTAGAATCGTTAAAATCGGTGAAATCGTATAAAATCGCGTTTTCAGACCGATTTTATCTGATTTCAAGCAAAGGAGAAAACTGCCTCCACCAAACCAAAACAACGCTGTTTTGAGCACTTCGGATAAAAAAAAGGAATAGGATAGATATCGGGCTGAGGCTGCCAAACTCTTCCAAAATCCCTAATCGTTGTCTCCTGTCTCCAGCACTCCAACGAAGAATCCGTAGCTGCTACAAGGCTTCGCAACCGTTGCCGCCAGTCCGCCCCCTTCCACCGAAGAATTTGCAGCTGTTACAAGGCTCCAACGCGGCAGCGCCCGTCGCCTGTCACCCGTCGGACTCGTCATCGCCTTTCGCCACTCGCCGGTGATACAACCGGTTAGTTTCTGTCTCTTCCTTGTCCTAGCCCATCGCCACTTCAGTCTCCACCAATTTGAGCAGTTGTGTTTCATTATACATCAATAACTATGAATATTCGTCGTCTAGTCAATGAAGGGCAAAGCAATTGTTTTTATTAGTTCCTAGGACAAAGAGTTGGATTGTACGATGTAATTAATATAGAGGCGGAGGCGGAAACGGCGGTGGTTGTTGTAGTGGTGGGAGATCGATGGATCGAAGAGTACAGCGGAAGAGCCATGTGGTCATGGCTCGATAATAGTTTATTTTAATTTAGACAAGAATTGCATGTATTTATTCTTTTAGCTAAATTATGTGGACTCATATTTTACATAGTTTATGCCGTACTTAACAGATTTTTAACTATTATACAATATGCATAAAAACTTACGCTTTTACGCTTTGATTCACCGTTTTTCGATTTTACCCCTTTTCCGCTTTTAGGTAGAATCGCGCTTTTGACTACATTGTATACACCGAAAAACTTCAACTTAAGGGTCATGGACAAATTTGTTTTCTAAAACTATTCAATTAGGCAGAACTCTTTAAACTCTTCAAAAACAAAGAGAGCTAGTCGATGAAGAATTCTAGAAAGGACAGAGATGCAAGCTGAATTAGAGAAGCGCTCCAAAGTTTAACCCTAGTTGCACTTGCATGCAACTAGTCGAAGAATCTTGTTGTTTGAACTAATTTGTATGAATCGCTCCTTTAAATTAATTTGTATGAACTCATGTGGCAACTAAGAACAATATACCACCACGATGTTTACATGGTATCACAACTAACTACATGTGTCCATCCAATTCCATGTCCCAAATTAGCAAGAACTTTAACCAACCTAGTTGTACCCATGTTTTGATAGAGAGTTCATTGGCAGTCGCTCACAACCAGCAAAGATGTAACTTTCAACAGATATATGAGTTTTTATAAATAAAAAAAAGATATCTGAGTTCACAGAGGAACCCCTAAGCAATCACCATAAACAGACTCATCAAAGCATGCCTCAAATTGTTCAAATATTTAAGGAATAAAACACTAAGCATATAAAATATGGTTCTTGAGAAAAAATGAACTACTCACACTAATAATAGCTCATCTACTAATCATACTGGTAATTTCAAAGACAAATTCTTATCATGTTGTTGCATTAATAGGTGCACTACCAATTCAATGATTCCACTAAGCGATGAATTGATAAATCTATCAAGCCTTACTTCATTTCTTACTTATGGGAACATATTCAAAGGCCAAAATTCAAATTCATTCATTCCATGATGGGAAAGATAGTAAAATGATAATGGTGTTTGACCCCTAAAAACAACTTTGAGATAACTTCTAGATTGGCAACTACCACTCAATCTTGACTACTTCTCACTAAACATAGTCGTAGCCGAAGTCGCAGATTTAACAAAACTCACAAACACCCAAGGAATACCACAACTCTCGATTGAAAGGTATAATCACACC